TTTTATGAAATGTGTATTAAGAATCATATGTTTTTCAAAAGAAAAATTGTCTTGAAAATTTACAGTGTTACACTATGTCCCCCATCCAACTTTTGGACTGAGGTTGCAGTTTTCACGATGCAACTCTTACTAGACAACATGGTATTATAGGCTTATAACATTTGGTATTTTCAAAAGTTTATCAAATTATAACAATGATGTATCAAATCTATCTATGTTTCCATTGTTATCATTCTGTAATTTAAAGATTTTAATTCATTGTTTACATATTTGATCGAAACCCATTCAAACTCGTGCCAACAATGCGGTGGATCTTCCGATAGTTATCAATAATGGAACACTTATTTTAAATTATTGACTTTTTAAATAACTAATAAATCAACAAGTTATTTTAAAGTATAATCTCAAACACCCCTTAGAAATAGATTCATATTATTCTTATGATGATGGGAATAGAATCAGAGTGGCCTATGAGTTGGCTGAGGTGGCACTTCGGTATTGGCGGGAACACCATTCACTACTCCCTGGGGCCGATAACATTAGGTTGGAGGGAGTGGTGTCACGTTTTCCACAGTCCACATAGGCGTCACCTAAGATTTGACACATTGCATCAAATTTTTGTCATTTACATGGCATAGGTTGCCACGCTTGCCATGCTATTTTTTTCTAAAATTAATTTATATTATAAATAATCAATTTAACCAAATTATTTTTAAAACTAAAATTTCACTAAATTTAAAAGAAAATTACAAAAAAAAACAACATAGAATTTAAAAATACAAAACATGGAAATTAAAATTACCAAACCTAGATAGACCTAAAGGGCGTCTTCATCGGAAAATTGACTGTCTAAATCATCGACCGGTTCCGCGTTAAGATCGATGTGGTTAACGGTCCAAATATGTTTCGTCAAGTCTCTACGAAGAACATGATCAGTCTCAATGTCATGAATTATTTCCCTCCTCGCCAAATACTCCTCGCTTCCAACCTCCAGCTTGTGTCGGTGGAACGATCTCGTTTTCATTATACTAACATATTGCATTCCCTTCATCTTTGAGAATCATATTATGCAATATGAATACAAGTATAAGTCAACTCACTCATTTTCTTCTCATCAACAAATAGTGCAGGGTATTTAAGTATATGCCAACATTTTTTAAGAGCACCAAACGCTCGTTCAACATCCTTTCTCGCTTTCTCTTGAGCTCTCTTAAACTTCAACCTTTTTCGATCATTAGGACAAGACAACGACTTCACAAAACCAAGGACGATCTGGATAGATCCCGTCCACAAGATAATACACGTACCTATATGACGTTCCATGCACATCAAATGAAGAATTTGGTGCAATCTCGTTATACATGTCATCTAATAACGGAGACATGTTAAGAACAATTATATCATTGATGGAACCATCAGAACCAAAGAATGCATGTCATATCCACAAATCATGTGAGGTTACCGCTTCAAATATGATGGTTGGATAACCATGATCACCTCGGATGTATTGGCCTTGATGTGCATTTAGGCAATTGCCCCATTCCCAGTGGAGGCAAACTAGGCTTCCTAACATTCTAGGGAAGCCGTGCACATTTGAATGATGAACATATAACTTTTGGGCGTCACTAGAAGTAGGTTTGCGCATATATCGTAGACCATATAATCTCATGACATACTTACAAAATTTGTGAAGGCTTTGTCGTGCAGTACATCCGGACATCATAATATTCTCATCTAGTGCATCGGGGGGAAGTGTCGTATGCTAATTGACAAAGTGCGACAATGCATTTTTGTAAATGAGTAAAACCAGTTGTACCTCTAGCATCTGCATGTTGTCGAAAATATGGACACGTTGATGTAACGTCGTTGACGATACGTAAAAACAGAGGTTTATGCATACGGTGCCGTCGACGTAAGTAATATCCTTGAAACGTTGCGTTTTGGTCAAAATAATCTTGCACGGGCCATTAATTAGCAGCCTCACGATGTCTTTGTATGTACCTTCTTTTTCTCCGGAACGCATCATCCACATTTCGTTGGCATAATTCTTCTATCTTCTGTTCAGCCTCGACGACTATGGTCATTTCATCAAAAAAGTCTGACGATGAAGACGTCATTTTTAGAAAGAATGTAGAATAAAGTTTTGATATGATAAATGAATGAATGTTAGGTTATATTTATAGGTATTAAAAAATAGACAAAAGAGCCGTTGCTATTGGTTGATGGGATATAGTCAAACTCGGTACATTCTTGCCGAGTACCAATGCCGGCGTGGTCGATGTGGTGACGTGGTGTTCACCGAGGCCACCTCGGATTTGCCACGCCTCACCGAAGACTACTCCCTCCGCCAAGCCTTAAAGGGTTATTAGGCAACCATTCCGTCCACACTTACTTTAGTTATAACGATATCGTCATGTATTTAGTTCAAAATAACATAAATGCAACATTAGTTTTCTTTCTTCATGTTTCTTATCTTTGTTATTTCTCTCTACTCTCTTTATCATGTTTAGTGTAACAAACATGCCAAGAAAACCATAAGCCACAATCATCATTCCACGTGTTTAATGTGATCCACTCATCTCCGACCTCTTGCTCTCTTGCACATGCTGTTCTACTTTTGTGGTTCCATAATCTTTGTAAGAATATGCTCCTTTCAAACTCAATTGGCGCTATGCAAAGATAATTAAAGCAAAGGGAACGAAACACATCCAAAATATCTACTTAGAAAAAATAATAAATTAAACTGCAAGTTGAAATTATTATACAGCTCACAGAAAATCCCATTCCCCCATGTACCAATGACTTCTTACTAAGAATAGATAGGAAGCGAGTGTCTCAAATATCCCTTTAAATCTCAAGAAAAAAGCTTCCTTTCGTTTCAGCTTTTCAATGGCAGAACCCAAGAGGTATGTCACATCTGAAGAGCTCAAAACTCACAACAAACCAGGGGATCTGTGGATCTGTATACAGGGAAAAGTTTATGACGTCTCAGAGTGGATGAAAACTCACCCTGGTGGTGACTTGCCATTGTTGAATCTTGCTGGTCAAGACGTCACCGATGCTTACGTCGCTCTTCATCCATCCACTGCTTGGCAATATCTCGACAAGTTCTTCAATGGGTATTATCTCAAAGACTACGCCGTTTCCGAGATCTCTAAAGATTACAGAAAGCTTTACTTCGAATTCACAAAAATGGGTTTGTTCGAAAAGAAAGGGCATGGGGTTTTAATATCCATGGTCGTCATAGCAATGATGTTCTCCGTGTGTGTTTATGGTGTTTTATTCAGCCAGAGTGCTTTTGTTCATTTGATTTGCGGTGGATTAATGGGGTTTCTTTGGATTCAAAGTGGGTGGCTAGGACATGATTCCGGCCACTATCAGATAATGATGGATCGGAAATTCAATCGTTTTGCTCAGATCTTGACCGGAAATTGTCTCGCCGGAATCAGCATTGCGTGGTGGAAGAGAAACCACACTGCACACCACATCGCTGTTAACAGTCTTGAATATGATCCTGACCTTCAACACATACCAGTGTTCGCGGTTTCTTCAAAATTCTTCGACTCTCTTACATCCAAATACTACGAAAGAAAACTAAACTTCGATTCTATAACCAGGTTCCTTGTTAGCTACCAACATTTAACATACTACCCTGTTATGTGTGTAGCTAGACTCAATCTCTTCGCTCAATCTTTCGTGTTGCTTTTATCGAACACAAAGGTACCCAATAGAGGCCAAGAGCTTTTCGGGCTTCTAGTGTTTTGGATATGGTATCCTTTGCTTGTTTCTTGCTTACCCAACTGGAGTGAAAGAGTGATGTTCGTGTTAGCGAGTTTTTCAGTCACTGGGATTCAACATGTTCAGTTTACTTTAAACCATTTCTCTTCAACTGTTTACGTGGGTGAACCAAGTGGAAACGATTGGTTCGAGAAGCAAACAAATGGCACACTCAACATCACTTGTTCTTCATTCATGGACTGGTTTCATGGTGGGCTTCAGTTTCAGATCGAGCATCATCTCTTTCCAAGGTTGCCAAGATGTCACTATAGAAAAATATCTCCGATTGTGAAGGATTTATGTAAGAAACATGGTTTGCCTTATGATTCTGCCTCCTTCTTCAAGGCCAATGAGATGACGATTGCGACCCTGAGGAACGCTGCTCTACAGGCTCGTGATTTGACGAAGCCTGTCCCTAAAAATCTTGTCTGGGAAGCTGTAAACAGTCATGGCTAAGGTTGAACGAAGAGGGTGTTCGTTTATTTATGCTTAATGGTGTTGTTCTGTTTTTGGATTCAACCTCATTCTTTGGTTATCCAGGGTAATTCGTTGGTTCTACACTTCTACTTATTTTGTTGCTGTTTAATAATGTGTTTTGTTTTTGCTATTGAGATGATCATAGCTATGTACACGATGGATCATGGATGGTTTTACTTTGTAGTTAAAGGATAAATTTAGTGAAAATGATCAAAGTTTGGTTGCTTTTGGTCTTCTTAATATTGGTTTTAGGCTATAAATTGTGTTGTTGATGTGTATAAATCTTTTTTTCTATGTTGGGCTATAATTGTGATTGCATTAATGTGTTATGTACTCATATCCCTAATGTAATGGGTACTAGAAAGAAGTGTATAGCAAAATGAAGTACAACAAATTACGTTTTAAATCATACACAATTGTTATAATTTTAGATGAAGGTATCTATCTAAGTATATTTCTTAGATTCTTGTTCGTAATATAAAAGACAAAAATGTCTTTTTAATTACATAGCCAATTATTGTGTTACTCCATTTTCACGTGATATCCATCAAAATCGATTTAAAAATAATACCTTGCTTGTAATGATAATTTACTTTTTTTTTTAGAAAACCGACTATCAATTTTGTTGCGTATTTGTTTTTTGAACGGTTATATTTTATTATTAATATGAAGCTAGAAAATAGAGAAAACAATATGCAAGTAAATGGCCAGTATTGGATTATGTAAGGAAGAAATCCAATTGACATTCAGTTTAGAAACTTATGTACAAACCAAAAAAACCTAATGATAGACTAATCTATCAAATAAAGTACTTTTCACCACTTCAAATCGCCAAATATCAAAAAGTTTCTCAAGTTCTAAATCACATGCATCGTAGTAAAAAAATGCTACCAAACATATTTTTCACCAACCCACCCACCGAAAAAACGCTCTCATTTCTGCGTTACGTCAGTTTCACCACCAACTCATTAGATATTAGAAGTTGTTACCACTTCATAATTTTCTTTTCTTTTTCCTTTTTTCTTTTTATGATTAAATTAAATAAAAACATAACTTAAAACATAATAAAATATTTTACATTAATTGAAATTAATTGAAACAACGTTACATTAATTAAAGACAAAATTGCAAAAATGGTCCCTGTGGTATGCATTTTTTTGGGGTTTTAGTCCAAACCACGACTTTTTTGGATTGGTGGTCCTTTTGAGCTAGTTTCGTTGCGTTTTTGGTCCATCTGAATAGTGAAATTACTGTAATACCCTTGGGGTATTTATTTTCCATTTTTAAATTCATTTTTTTCTAATTTAATAATTATTTATTCATTTTAATTATTAAAAAAATAAGAGGGCCTCTCTCTCTCTCTCTCTCTCTCTCTCTCTCTCTCTCTCTCTCTCTCTCTCTCTCTCTCTCTCTCTCCTTCTTCATTTACGACTAAGAACTCCCCACCGGAGGTGGAGTCGTTTTTCCGGCCACCAAGACATTCAGGGTTACCTATTGCCACCGCCCCGACACAACCTATTCTGACCATCCTCACAGTCGCACTCTACCACCATCCATCATTGTTGTTGTTCCCCTTCCTTCTCGTCAATCCGATCCGGACTCCAAAAACGGAGGTAGCAAAGCCACGGAGGCAGCTCGCCACCCACTACATCGACTGCTTTCCCTTTTTACTCTCGTTGTGTACTGTCGGACGAGAATCCAATACCCTTTTCTATTCAGACGATCTGGAACCCAACGAACAAGAATCTAACTCCCTTTTCTATTCAAATCACTTCAAAAATCCCTAAATCACATTCATATCGGGTTGAAGACGTCTAGACAACATTTCATCAAGAAGCTTCATCGCTTCAGTAATCCCATCGTAAAAAATGGTGGCCTCGATAAAAATTTTGTAAGTAATCACCATAGGTTTACAGTTATCCTCCAGTAGCTTATCCAACATCTTCATAGCAAATCCAAGTTTCCCTGTACTACATAGACTCCCGATCTGAATATTGTAAGTAACCACGTCCGGTGAAAACCCTTGATTTCTCATCCGATCTAGCACTCTGTTGGCTGAATCGATTTGATTCAACTTACAAAACCCGCTGATTACTGCATTATATGCGAAAACATCTGGTTCACCATGAGATTCGAGTATCTGGATGACTTTAACTGCCTTTTCTACCCGTTTTGTGTTGAAGAAGCCCTTAATGAGCTTCGTACAGAGGATAACGTCAGGTTTATAACCTTTGCCGACCATGAGCTCCAGAAAGTACAGTGACTCGTCGTATTTACCTGCTTTGCAGGACCTGTTGAGCAATTTCATGAAATGTGTCTCTTTGTAAGTGTAGGATTGGAAATGGGGAGACTTCCAAGTGGTAGTAAGTTTGACATTTAAAGAAGAGCTTCTACTGTGGTTGGGACTAGGGTTTGGATTTTGGTTTCTACAGGTTATGACAGAGTAATGATGGTGAGAAGTTGTGTGTTTTGGGTGAGCGTTGAAGGGGAAGAATATTGGTGAGAATTCCGTAGAAATCATTGCCTGATTTGGTCCGAGAGATTGAAATTCAGTAAAGTCTCATTGTCGAGAGAGAGAGAGAGAGAGAGAGAGAGAGAGAGAGAGAGGTGGGCCCTCTCATTTTTTTAATAATTAAAATGAATAAATAATTATTAAATTAAAAATGCATTTAAAAATGGAAAATAAATACCCCAAGGGTATTACAGTCATTTCACTATTCACAAGGACCAAACACGCAACGAAACTAGCTCAAAAGGACCACCAATCCAAAAAAGTCGTGGTTTGGATTAAAACCCCAAAAAATGCATACTATATGGACCATTTTTGCAATTTTGTCTTAATTAAATAAACATAGAAAATTAAACCTAAAAAAATAAAAAATTAAAGCTAAATTACTAAGAAAACATAAAAAACATAGAAAATTAAACCTAAATTACTAAAAAAACATAAAAAAACATAGAAAATTAAACATAAATTACTAAAAAAACATAAAAATACATAGAAAATTAAACCTAAATTATTAAAAAGCATAAAAAAAACATAGAATCTAGTTGCGATATTTGGCGAAAACTTATTGTTGAATTTTTAAAAACGCCCTTAAATTTTCCGGGTCAAAATTCTGTTGCGGCATCGTATTTAAAATTTGAAGATCGGTGAGTGTAATTTTTCGCCGATGAGCTTCCTTTGTTGATTCAAATTTTCTTTCTAAAAAACTTAGAGTTTTGTCTATTTTCTCCGCTAGTACGTCCTCGTTTGTTGATTTTCCGTTTGAAGATGCCCACTTTCTCGCTTTGTCCCTTCCAGTGGTCGACGAAGTTGGACGTCTGGTGGACCCTCCCCCTTGTTGGCGTCGAACTCATCATTGAGGTCGTAGCTAACACTAATGTCCGACTCGGACGTTCTCACCCTTTTGTTGGAGCTGGTGGTAGATCCCGAATGCGCCGTATCCGGATAAATGACCCATTTTGGACCATTACGCCAAACTTCCCACGCTTTTTGGTTGGCAAATGGTTTACCATTGTTAGTAATTTTGAGTTGGTACAACGCGGTTGATAAAATATTGAAATCGTTGTTACAACTTCTATGCATATTTTTAAGATTGTCAAATACACCGTTAAATTTGACGCAAGCCGCTCGAAGGTCACGCCATTTTGCATTGACCGAGTCGTATGTCCGACTCGTTTGCCTTCCCAATAACGCGTCGAAGTGGTCTAAAGCACGATTCCAAAAACTTTGACCCGTTTGCGCGTTGTCGACATCCCCGTCTTGTGATATGAAAATCCAAGCTTTAGCTAAAGTTTCATCCTCTTCTTCGGTCCATTGCGTACTTTTCTTTTTCCTTGGATCTTTTATTTTTTTTGCCTTCTATAACTTGGTTGTGTTTCTTCAACCCGTTTGCCGTCGTCTTCATTGTCGAGGTTTATAGGTTGAGATGGTTCTGAAAGGTTGTTGAGGTTGAGAAGATTGGGGTTGAAATTGCGGAGAATGTTGTTGTTGAAAGGCTTAAAATTGGGGTTGATTGAATTGTGGTGGTTGTTGTTGTTGTTGGTAGTAGTAGTGTGGGTGGTATGAAAGATTGGTGAATAAAGGTTGTTGTTGGATCGGATATGTTATCAATTGCATGTAACTAAGACTTGCTAAAGGATCATTTGAAATGTTTGGGGTGGGTGAGGTATTTTGATTTGGTTCCATAAAAATATATGAGGAAAGATTATTTTTTGTTGAATTTGTGTGTTTGTGTTGAAAGAGTGTGTGTGTTTGAAATGTAAAATGAATGTGTATATAGAGAAATTTATTAATAATTGAATGAATTTTTTTTATAGAGTAAACGGTCGAAAATGTCCAACCCACGCTCCCTCAACGGCCAAAAGTCAAAGGGTTAATGTCATTATAACCCAACCAACTATTGAGTTTTGTTTTAAAATGTCGTTTATATATATATTTATACTCTGAGTCATTTAACTTACTATTGACCTATTAATTATACCATTGCTTTGTTTTTTTCCCGCTTCTGTAGGTTACACAATCATTTTGCATATGTGACTTGGCAAAAAAAAGCCATGTCAGCATACACATGGCTAAAAAAACATGTTTTTAAATATTACAAAAAGAAATTTATCTTCTTTTTAGGATACCTGCAAAAGCAAAATATGAATAAAGATGCTAACCATGAAACATTTTTTATAAGCCAAATTTAATGAATAAGCGTTCGGGATTTGGCATGCGTATAAAGGGTATCACCAGATCCTGATGAGTAAGGACGACGAGGAGAAAACAGCTTTCTACACTGACCATGGCACGTTTTGCTACACCAAAATGCCTTTCGGTTTAAAAAACGCAGGGGCAACATACCAACGCCTGGTCGACTCCTTGTTCTCAAGCCAGATCGGGAGAAACATTGAAGTGTATGTCGACGATATGGTTATTAAAAGTGAGGATGAGGAAAAGATGTTACAGGATATTGAAGAAACTTTCAAAA